AAAACGTTACTTCTTTAAACGACTTCAAAAAAAAGAAAAAAGAAAGAAAGAAAAAAGAAAAAGAAAAAAAAGAAAAAAAATAAAGAAAGTTTACTTAAAAAAAGTAAAGAAAGTAAAAAAAAGAAAGAAAAGAAAGTAAAGAAAGTTTACTTTGTTACACATGCCGACTTCTCAACAATAGAACTCAAGTATAGCGTAATGAGGTACATTAACTTCGTTTCATTATGGTATTTAATTAGATTAAATTTGATTTTGTTAAAAAAATCAAAGTTTGGTTTCAAAGTTTGTTTTCCGCGTTTTACCCTTTTCCGTTTCCGGTTCCGCCATTCCGGTTCCGCCGGTCTGTTCCATTTCCGCGTTTTACCCCTCCCCCTTCATACGATTAGAATATATTTTAAATTCTAAGGAGTACAAATCTTGTACTTAACAAGAATAGAGTTATTTATTCAGGTCTCGTTTTGCAATCAACGCCCTGTATTTTACGCTTCCGTGGGTTCAGCATGATGCTCAGGCATTCAAATTATACAATAGGAAAATTTCAAAAGGTATACATTTTTGGAGCAACCTGTACAGATGTAAGCACGCAAGACTAGAGGTTATACTAAAATAAATGTCGAAAGCCACAAAATGAATTGCGTTTCTTAAGCAAAAGTATGTATATAAGTGTTAGAAATGAAAAGCGAATATAGCTCCATGCTGATTTGCAAAGAACTGCAGTTTAACAACAATTCGTGCAAACACAGATTTTACGCATACACCTTTGTGATTATAAGGCCTGTTTCAAACGTCGCGCTTCTCGTGTGCCTAACGCGTTAGAAACAATAAATAATGAGGCATTTCAGTTGATTATCTATTGTTTTTAATGCGTTCGGCACGTGAGAAGCGCGACGTTTAAAACAGGCCTAAAGGCGGTTTTCGACTAGACGAAATTTTTCGATCGAAGCGAAATTTCTATTGTTCAAATTCAAAAGATTTCTTATTAGTTCCATCGGAGTGCTTGTAAGACAAAAGAAAATTTCAATTCGGTCGAAAAAATTCGCCTAGTGGAAAACCGCCTTAAGTCGTAAAATTAAAGAATTATTTGTCGAAACTTAACATGGTCTCCTATTTCCTATGATGCATGTCATCATGAACAGCTGCTCATATTAAGGTTGCATCTACACAATTTTATATTGTGCACTTAATTATGGAAGGTGGGTCGCCTTACCAATGTGGGATAGTAAGTATTCCACGCCTCCACCGGGTAGTGCTAGTCAGGAAATGCTCCGGTTAGTGTCAGGCGGTTTGGGCAGGGTGTGAGGTGAGCTTTCCAGTGTGTGTTGGGTGCACCTGTATGATGACACATGCACATTATAGAACTAGCATGGCTGTATAATGATTTAGATCACAGCAAATATGCAACTACGCTGTCAAAATTATACATGAAAGAGCATTTGCAACCGAATGCACTATAATTTAGCTGGACTGCTCAAAGACAAATTTAATAGACCTTTCTTATGGCGTCAGCATGCATAAACGGCTATTTTGTGGCGTCAAACGCGGATAAACACTTCGACTTCGATGTTAATTCTGTTTTGTTTTGTTTTGTTTCCAAAGGTTTTTCTCGAGGAAAACTCCCCCAAAACGAAAATTTCCGCTAATTTTATTGATTTAGATCATCTAGTAGGTAAGACGTGATGTTCTCAATGAATGTTGATAAAATTTAGTTATTTATTTTTTATCAGTGAAAATGAAGCAATCTGATTGGCTGAGGAGCCTTTCAGAGCGGGCCGGTTTTTTGCATCCGGCCTGCTCTGAAACGCAACTGCCGGCTGTGAAATGCAACTGCCAGGTCTGGCTTTCGTGACAAAAACTGAGGAGTGAAACAATTTTTTAAAAGAAACAATCTGCCAAAAACGTTTGAAAAACATAGCCTAACGATAGTCAGAATACAAAAATGAATTGCATCAAGCCCTAAAGGCTTCATACTAAGCACGATGTTCACCAGAATTGACAATATTTTGATAGAAATGCGACTGAAAGTCGGGAAATTATTCGACGTACGTACGTATATGTATAAAACGTACGTCGAGAAAACTATATATTTTTTAAATGCTCATATATTCGGCCATTTAAAAGCGAAAAAATTACAGGTTAAACAGTTATTGTAAAATAAATGTTTTCCCATTTAAAAAAAGTTTTACTGCAGCAGTGAAAACAAGTCACGAATATATTCTCTACCCACTTGTGTCATGCATTTTTCACTGATATAAATGTTGTAAACAAAGTAAAAGTTTGTGTTTATATTAAAAACAATTTTTTCAAGCATATTATCGTGAAACGACAAGAAAAAATACAAAAATATAAAAACAACATACCCTTTTCATTGTCCTTTTAATAGAAAAACGTTGATTAAATCAAAACAGATTCATTTTTATATGTTTTTGATCTGATCTGATCTGAACATGAAATGTCGTTGTCAGGAGCAACTGATTTTGCCAAAGCCAAAACGCCAGGCCTAAAACTTTTTGTTCCAAAGCTTCTCTTCTATACCATATTCATGAAAAAAGCATGTACATTTTTACTGAAACTATACGTCTTTTTGTGTGTTTCTTGCCAGTTTTCTCGAGTTTTCGTATTGTGTTTTATATCTTTCAACTTTTCAAATTTCAATTTTTGTCAGCCTCGCTTTGAAAATACTCAACTGCACTGATCTCAAATTAGTTCGCAAGCAACACTGGAATTTTAATGAATTTAATTTTTACATCTGATAAAAAATAAACACGTTATTTACCGGCAGCGTCGGTCCGGATGAGAAAAACTGTGCCCTCGGTCTTGAAAACGTCCCTCGCCCTTCGGGCTCGGGCCGTTTTCAAGACCTCGGGCACAGTTTTTCTCATCCGGACCTCGCAGCGGTAAATAACAAATATATATTGCCCTAGCTCTTCAACGTTGTCAGTGTGACTGAAAAACAAAGCAGTAACGTCTACGGATAAGCCGGAGACGAGAGATTGTCTCACTATTTTACCTTCGATTATAAGTCTGTAATTTAACTATTTTTTGCGTTTTATCAAAATTCAACAATAAAATTATCCTACATAATACATGCCATACTACAAATCGTCTGGAAATTGTTATAATTCGTCTACTAAGAGTAAACTATCCTTCATAAACTTAATATTCAGACTGGCTCATTTCGGCACTTCAGCCATCAATCAAATCTCGAATGAAACCTCTAGCTAGAGGGTGTTGATGGGGTATATATCGCGAGTCGTGATTGCTCAATTTCGGTTACCATCAGTCGTGAAAACTAAAAAAATGTTACCGTGAAGAAAAAAATACTGTTTATCGCATCAGAACACTTTTCAGCATATTTAAAATTTTACCGTTAAAATAGCAAAATATTTACCGTTTACTGATTTTCAGGCGCACCCCCGCCCCGTCCCCCCCGCCCGCCCACCACCAACTCTACAGCTTTTATCGGAAAATCGAAGCTCAAGTGTTTTTATCCGCGTTTGACGTCGCAAAATGCCTCATATAAGCCCTTGTGTCGAAGAATGTAACCGCACACTCACATTTTGCTATCTTTGTGAGCGAAATACATTTTCAAAAGACCTGGAGTTGTGAACAGAAGTTGTATTTTTTTAGTCTTATAAGTCTCGCTTACTCTGTTTCTGTGATCACAGTAAGGATTCCGCATATGTTTTGTAGGATTTGTAAGAAATGTTTCTGGAAATCCACTGATGTGTTAACATGCATTCGTCTGATTTAGTTCATTGAAACATTCCAAAACTTTGAATTTATCTATGCACAATTCCTATTATAGTGATCACAGAAAGTTTGATAGAGTTAGGCCCGTTTCAGACGGCGTACTTCTCATGTGCCGAACTTAATTGATGAATAAGGTACGGCAGAAGAGCGACGTATGAATCAATTAAGTACGGCAGAATTTGCAGCGGCAAAAGTTCGACACAAGTTCGGCAGAGCTTGTCGCATTATGCGACGTTGGGGCGACATTGATTCATACGCCGCTCCACTCATGTGCCAAACTTAACTCAATTTTAGTCTAAAAACCAACTTATTTATTTTGAATTCTATTTAGGTTTCGCTGACGAATGCGCCCCAACCTTGTCAATAACATTGTATTTGGTACGCCGTTTGAATCACTGCCGTTCTTGTGTCGCATCTAATATACAATTAGGTTCGGCACATGAAGAGTACGCCGTCTGAAACGGGCCTAAATTTACTAGGCTTGAGGTTTATAAAACAACGAGCGCAGCCTGTTATCGCCTAGTTTCCATATAGTCCTATATAATGGTTGTAAAAATAGAGCGGCGATCTTTCTCAACGGCCAGTTCATAATGGTTCATACCTGCAAACCACCTATAAATTAAAAGTATTCTCCAGTTCTAAAATGTTCTATTTCGTGACTCGATCAATCTTGATCGTGACTCAAACTTTACGACCGTGCACGTGACGACCATATCCAAACCAGGCTTAACGCATTTCATGGAGCTTTATCTTTCGAACAAGGACCTATATTACGTTTTCATGCGGACACCAATGGACCTTTCCCCTTATAACTAAAATTTCGATCTAGACAACACAGCTTGAAAGAGCATCACAAAATTAGTAATATTCCAAAGTTTTGTTGCAAAATCTTGTAAAATGCGGATAATATAGCCTTGCGAAGTTTGCCGTTTTTCAGTCAGTTTGTATTATAAACGGGAAATTGACATCCGATTCGCGTGATGGGGCTGAAATTTCCCGTTTGTAATGCAAAATGACTGAAAATTGCAAACTACGCAAGGCTCTATTTTCCTCATTTTACAACATTTCGCAACGAAACTTTGGAATATTACTAATTTTGTGATGCTCTTTCAATCTGTGATGAAATATTTGTCTAGACTTGCCTAGATCAAAATTTTGGTTATAAGAAGAAAGGTCCGTTAAGATTCTGTAACAAATACAAGTTTAGCCTCCGATCTGGGTATTCGCATATTAAAGAAATGTTGCATGCTTTATCTTGGTCTCGGTGGTCGTAACTCTATTCCGAGTGGTGTTGGTCGTGTTCTTGAGCTTGTTCGGCACATCAATCGCTGAAACAGATTCTTGAAAGCCTCTCTGTATATGTTGTCCAGACAAGCATAAATTATTGGATTACATAGACTGTTAAGCAGCGGTAGTAAAGTTATTACAGCCGCAGTTATTGAGATCGAACACAGGTAGTTTAATGACCTGCTACGCCAATCAACAATATTTGGAAAGTACAGGTGTAACACATTAAAAATGAAGAAAGGAGACCAACAAAGTATAAACACTCCAACGACAACCAACAACATTCGGATAGCCTTCAGATCTCTAAGAAATGCACATCGCTGGTTCGGAACACCGCAACTCTGACCCAGTTCGCCATTTCGCAGCATCTTTTGTCGTTTACGAACAACAAGAAAGATGAGAGCGTACATGGCCAGTATGACTACGGTGGGTAGGAAGAACGCAGATACTTCCACAAACGTATAGAATGCTTTGCGTTTATTACGATCGGCAGTGCAAAAACCGAAGGCAGTGGTCAAGATTCCATTGCTTCCTGATTGAGGAGTGGCGGCGTAGGTGGAAATACCAGTTGAAATTAACCAAATGATGAAAATTACTTTTAATGATGTGGAAGTTGTCATTCGTGATTTATACTTTAGTGGTTTACTAATTTTTAAATATCGGTCGAAGCTGATGAATGTCAGTGAATAAATTGATGCTGTTAGCGCGAAGGTATCTGCCCACACAGCAAAACGACACAGATGAATAGACATGGTACGTGCCGGTTTAAAATGTTGATACGCATTCAGTGGTGCTACAACCATACCAACCAAAAGATCAGCGACAGCCAGACATGCAATAAAATACTTGTTTGGTTGGTGAAGGCTTCTGTCTCTCCAGGTCGCCACCAAAACCAAAGTATTGCCAAGGATTGTTAAAATAGCGGAAAAGGCTATTGTAATTGTCTTTGCCAAAGAAAGCTGTTCCCGAAATTCCAAATATTTTATCCAGTCACTGTTCGCCCATGTCCCTGTTTGATTTGTTTGATTATACATAGCACTGGTATCGTATGACGACATCACTGACAATGCAAAACTTGATCCTAAGGAATCGGTAAGAATACCACGATAGTCAGACAAATTCTAACAGGGTCAGCGTAGTGCGTCAATTCTTCGTGTATTGACTTCATAGTCAGACACTTAGTTCTTTGACATGTTAGTTATTTCTAGATATCTTACATACATTTCAACGGACTCTAGTTCGGATTATACACAAATATGCAGCAGATCGTAATACTATATAATACAGAAATAACCATTTGATAATTGCAATTGCATCAGCAGCAGAAATGCATGACCGCTGATAAAAGTCTGATTAATTTTATCACAACTCGGTTATTTTGGTGGCCTCGTGCAGATGATATACAAAAACCGCATTCCGCATTCAGTTGAAATCGTGCAGAAATATTAGGCAAGGATATGGAAAGGTAAAACTTGAGATATTTTACAATCTTCATACTTTTCTATATTTAGCATAATGATTAAAATAAATTACTGCTCCAATTCGATATGTCGCACAATAAACGCTGTATTTTTATGATCCTGTAATAATGAACCTCCATGGGGAGTATCAACCCCTTGGTCCAGGCCATTGTTAGAGGGGTCGCTCCACTTCTGCATGGCAGGGCCTATATAATAGGTGAACATGATCCCTAGGTCAGGGCATTCAATCTCTCCTGGCGGGGTAAAAACATCAGACTTAATGAGTTTCTGGATTGACCATGCAGAGTTTATAATTAGGAGTATGATGTAGAATATATATGATATTGATATATTTAACAGTTATTCTGCGAACTAGAGTCGTGAACTGATAAAGAGTGAGTAGAATTACAGTTGTTATATTGTATAGACAACTACTGCATATGCGGACTCTCGAGTATGAAAATATTGTGACAGTTTGCCAATCAACGCAACGAATGGCCTTAATTTAAATGCCAAAACACTGCTGCTCTTTTTTTTAAATCGGTACTTCAAATATTGCTAAAGCTTGAATTTTTATATAAATCATTCATCACATTTTTTAGACAAAAATAGTGCTTGCTTATTTTTACTTCCATATAAAAGGTTTCGGCACGTCTGCTCATGTTTTTATCTTCGCTCTTTCGACATTAACTTTAGTTAAAAAATTATTCACTTTGCAAATTGAAACATTTCTGGATGTCTTTTTAGTGTGTGTTTCTTTCCTTGTACATTATTCTACTAAAAGCGAATAACTTGATGTTTTTTCTCTTCGCAAAACTCCGGTGATTCTTGAGCCGCCAACTTGTTTTCTCTACTAATATGAGCTATTCTTATAGGCTCACACGCAATTGACCATGCAATCACCGGTCTTTGAAAGGGTCACGTGCATGCCCGATATATTACGATGTATAGGACAGAGGTGTCAGAGAATGTATTGATCACGGACAGTTGCTTACCGTGGCTTTTACCTGCATGGTTTATCAATCGTTTTCAGATGTTTTGTCCACTTCAAACACACAACAGAGAAAATGACAAAGTTGAAGTAACTTTAAGCAGTAATTAAATTAAATTATTTAAGAAAGCGAGGGCAAACTTGTTCGCGCGAAATTAATTTGTTTCCAATAGTCGTGAAGTTAGTAAATTATCGTTTTTTCGTTCAATTTAGGTCAAAATTAATCGTCTTTAAAACATACTTAATGCATGGAATTTAGTTTTCTATATGCACGCTTGCTTTTAAAAAAATATATAGGTTATTTATTGCCTTCGTCTTCGATTGTCGCTGCATTATTCTCGCTGTATTTATAAAATTGTTTTGTTCGACATAATAAAACACCTATTTCGTTCTCGAACTTATATTGGGCTCAGAAGAACCAATAGGCAATAAGATATGATATAATCCTGCTGGTACAGTAGTAGAGGCAATCAGATTGCAGAATAGCTTATATCTGATAGTTGTCTAATATAATAAATGCATATATAAAACCAACAAGGTTTAGCATAAAAATTACTGGATTGGCTTTAGATTTCAGAGGTCTCACCAAGATAAAGCGGAGGTATAATTTTGTGGAATAATGCTGCATGACGCTATATACTTAGAGTATCCTGATGTGCTGCATTTTACGCATCCCCCCTCAATCAATCACAATATTGATGGATTTTTGTAGAACAATATTTGGAGCGAACTTTAAATTGATTTTGGGCTAAATCAGGAGCAGTTTATTTCAGCCGGGAAAGCGATATAGTGTGATTTCAGATCACAACTGGATCCGCGGTTGGGTATAGAATTTCGCTTCCACTGTTCCAGTTTAGAACGAAATCCTATCTTTAAATAAAGGCTCGTTATTCATGCTCATTTAGTCTGTCAATACACGGTTTTGCATAAAATAAATAAGAAATAACACTTTCTATTGAATTAGCAGTATAGTCAGCGTGTCTCTTACCTCTTTATTAATCTTTCGTAATATTTCTCAGTTTATGTTGTTAATCTTCAATTCTCCTGGCGGCTTTCAATTCCTACTAATACCCAAATTGTGCCCGAAATTCTGACATTGCTTTTCAACCTCCATGTTGCAACTGCACAGTAAAAACAAATTGGTTAAAATGACCAATTTAAATTGGTCGCAACCAATTTAAATTGGTCATTTTAACCAATTGAAGAATAGGTTAATCTGACATGACCAATTAAATATTGGTCATTTCGACCAATACATAATTGGTTGAATTTTTAACCAATTTGAAATGGTAAACTTAACCAATTTCTTTTGATCAGTCAATGTTGAATTTCCCAAAATAACCAATAAAAATTGGTCATATCCCCAACCAATTTAAAATTGGTCATATGCATAACCAATTTAAATTGGTCATCTCTATAACCAATTTTAAATTGGTCGAAT